ACTCTGATCTCTCGTGTGTCAAGGAGGAAGCCATGGCACCTGTCGCGTCCTAGTAGCTGTCACCTCGTCACGTATAGGCTAACTTTAATAGAAAAGTACGCTCCAGGGTACAATGTCGTGTGGGATGCGAGTGCGTGCTACGTGGTGACGTGGCGCCGCTTGGCGTCGTTCTCCTGTGCCGCCTCCAAGAGCGAGAGCACGCGCGCACGCTTGTGCCGGGTCGCGAGCGCGATCGCATCGCGCCATGGCCCGTCCGTGGACGGACACAGACGCCTCTCGCAGAGGTAGCGCACAATGGCCTCGTGGCCTCGCTGCACGGCTAGGTAAAAGGCGTCGGCCGACAGCCACGCGCGGCCTCGGCAATCGAGGAACCGCGCCACGACGTGGAGCTGGCCCTCCAAGATCGCCAGGTGCAGCGGAAACCGCGCATCGCGCTCAAACGGATGGAGGTAGAGCGTAAAGCTGCCGTAGACGGCAAGACTGTCATCGCCGAGGAGCAGGGCGTAGCGCGGTGGCAGCTCGTACTGCAGGAACCCGCCGACGTTGGTCGTCGTCATGGCCCGCCATTCCTGAAGCCGCGGTAGCAGCTCGGCGAAGAAGCCATGCTGGTACGCGCAGATGCTGCGGAGGAGGCTCGCGTCCGTGAGCACGCTCGTGCTTGCTGCATGGGGCTCGGCCATCGGCGCCGGTCTGGCGAAATCCGAATTTTTGTTTCATATTAAATCGAGACTTGCTATTTGTATGGTACATCGATGCGATCCTAGGCCGCGTAGGATTCGTCACTTTTTGTCCAATCCCATTTTTGTCTTCGTTTTCGTTTTCAGAGATTAGAAATAACTTAATGTTTGTAAGTGAAAGGTGCATTTAATGTATCTGGTATTGGATTGGCTAGTGAAGCAACCAATCATGCACTGCAAATTAACGTGAAGTCAAATCGATTTATCAACTTTTGACGACGACGGGCGAGCCTAGAGCGAGGCTCGCCCGTCGTCGTCAAAAGTTGCTCTACTATCTGGTATCCTAGTAATGTATAGCTGGATCTGGTTATCGATGCAACAATTGTAGCTTCTTGTTGGGTATATATAAATCGCACACTCTAGTCGAGCTGTTGAAAAAGGGCGTCGAGTGTAGCTACCACAGTAGAGTCATCAGATAAGATTCCGTCGCCATGCACGTGCCCATGCACCATACCGTCAACGCGACTTGGCTTTGTGAATCAGAGGCAAGGACATGCCCTTCTAGTGGGATGTACCACCAGTTCGGACCAGGTCCTCTCGTTGTACACCGTGGGTTGAAGCTGCGTGGCTCCTCTCAAACCATTTTTTATTCGCGGGAAGGTGACCCACGTAGACCGCGTGCGGGCTAATGGTCACTCACACACCGACAGGCGGGGCGTCTCTTGGCGCCAGACGCATCACCTCCTTTCGCAAACACACGACGGGCGGCCGTGATCGAGGACAAATCTGTGCGCTCATGGGTACGCCAGCGCCTCCTGGATGGGCGCAATCTGGTCTTCGCTGCGTCTCCAGCCGCACGTTCTGCGAGGCAGCTGTACCCCGTGGACGCCAAGTCGACATCTACTACTAGTAGGATGGTGCTTAGGCTCTCAAATATTTTGGGATTGGGAGGCGGAGAGAAATAGAAGCTGAGAGAAATGGTACGACGCCACTGTGCGAGCAACTTAAGAGGAATGTGCTTTTTACACACGGGGATTAATATACTATAAGCTAATGACGAATCTGGAGGACATGGAGTAAGTAGTACGAACGACGACGATGGGACACGAGAGACGACGACGAGGGCGATGGCTAGACGAGGATGTACAGCAGCGAGAGCTTGTTGACGGGGCGTGCCGATTCGGTTGTCGTCGTCGACGACGCTTCCGAGCTCGTTGGCGAGAGCGGGATCCCGTCCTTTGACTTGGTCAACTTGTGCGTCGAGCCATGGCGCCGCTTCCGGTCGTACTCGCGCTGCTTGGCGAGGCGCGTCGCCCGGTGCTTGCGGTAATATTCCCGCTGATACTCGATGTACTGCTGGTACCCTTGCATCGACTTGTGTCGTCGGCCCATAGTAAGGAAGTGCGTTGGAAAAGGCAAATTGAAGAATGGCGAAGACTCAAGGGCAAACACGCACGCTGCCCACCGTATGGTTCACACCGTGGGACGCGTCGGCGTGGCTTTGGCGACCGGTGCATCCTCGTATCCTCGCCGTGAGCTCGCTTGTCGTATCCAATCACTAGAGCATACGATAGTATTGCGCTTGACGCACGACTTTGCCCTTTCAAAACGAGGGGATGTGGCCTCCGCGTTCGTGGCGAGGGGGCGACGGACCGCAGTGGCGTTGGGCCATCTGTTTCGTGTCTAAGCTGCAACCCGCGCGCTTCAATTCGAGTCGCCACCCAGCATCCGATGTGGTGCAGATACCGTGGACCCGATATCCTGCGTTCGCTCCTGTTGAGAGCGGTACTGGACGAACGGTGGCGCGGGGTCATCGAGCTAGCCGGGCGGCTATTCGTGGGATGCCAATGGATGCGTCTACACCGACGACGACTCGACGAGCAAGGCGCAGTTAGTCACAACTGGACGAGGCACCCAAGATCAAGGATCAGCTGTGTCGATCCAGCCGCCTTTCCAGAGCGTTGCTGTCACGTCTTCGCTGTCTCTTCGAGCTGTCGTCGTCATCCGCCGTGGTCCGTGCGGCTCGGAGCGCCACGCCTGTCCTTGCTACAACCAAGGACGTAAGAAATAGAGAGAGATCTCGTCGCTACCTGTCCTGGATCGAACTCAACGAGGTGCTACTGGCATCCAAGACAGCGCGCCCGTGAGGTATCGTGATGGGGCCTGCCACCAAGTTTGATGCAATCTGGCGGTGCAGAGGGCAACAACATCTGTCGTATGGTCACAGCTGTCGCGCACCCATGGCCGGTCGTGCGGTTGCCGCAGTTGACGGCCACGCATCTTTTTTGCGCCGAGTCTCGACGACCGGATCAAATCGCTTTTTTGTCGTGCCCTCGTTGCAGTTGTGCGTGATAGACTGTAGCAGTTGCTGCGAGCCGCCACCCAAAGGGTGCAGGTGAACGGTCTTGACGCCAGATCAGATTGCGCGACGACACTCTCTGTCTCTTGGCGCGCGCGGAATCAATAAATTGAAGCAGCCCTGCAATGTTGCAAGTTCGAGTAATCCAAAACGTGTGCTGTCGACGATGCCAGCCTCGATCCATCTCTATCCTGGATAGAGAGGCCAGAACGGAAGAAGACGCTACTGGTACATCGCTCGGACTCGGTGCGTGGGTCCAACCACAGGATATTTCTTTCCGGTCTGCGCAGTGCACGCCCAACGACCAAGCGTTAACTTTGACGCATTCCGACGTAGCGTACACCAGTGTTGGTATGTTGCTCCTTTGGTTCCAACGCCAACATTTGAATACTGGCACTCGAACCGATCTAACTACATCTCAATGCGGTTTTTTGGCCAAGTCTAAATACGGGGATTTTGGCTGGCGTCGTCCGACGGAGGGTTATCATCCGAAACATCCATGAACGGTCGTCGACTCGCCTCGCCGATGGTCGACCCCGTGCCGGCGCGGGTACGTCGACGCCGCCAACGAACATCCTTGTCATGCGACGAGCGTAGCCGACGACCCATCGGCGCAAGCACAAGCCGCCTGTCAATTTGGCCGAGATCCGCCGCAAAGCGGCTCTCTACAACGTCGGGTCGGCGGCGCAGTGCCCCAAAACAACGACGCGCCGCCGCCGCCAGTCGTCGCAGGCACCCCCGCCGAGTCCGCAGCCCATCGGGGTATCGCACACCGCGAGGATTCTCAAGCGATCAACAACATGCGATAGGGGCGACCCTTGATGTCGGCGGTGGGCGTTGTGCACGACCTCTATTCCACCGTGCCGTCGCCGCGCAAGTCGATGAACAACAACCGCAAGCATGGCGCCGACGATGGTACTCCAGTGATGCACCCTGCTGGGTGGCGCCTCGGCCACAACAACTCGGCGTCATCGTACGTTTACAAAGCAATGTGGCGGCGGTGGGCCGCAAAGGGCGTTGTAGTTTCAAGCTTGCGGGTGCTGGCACGGATGGGCTCCTGGCACCGAGCGATGGCGCCCGCCAAGTGCTCGCGGTGCATGGCCTCACGGACGAGTTCAAGTCGCTGCTCCTGGCGTATCCGCCGCCCAAGGTACGCAAGGTATTGAGAAAAGGGCCCGATACGACGGAAGCATCGCAGGCGATGGAGGTGGCTGCCGAGCTCGCCGATCCCAGAGAGTGGACGAAGCGTATCGAAGGGCTCCCGAACGTCGGCCATCACAACACCGACCTACCCCGGGCATGGCTTGGTATGTCGTCTTGCTACAGCGACGACCATAGATATATCCTTCTGGACAGAGGAGCCGCATGAAGAGGGTGCGGAGAAGAAGCCATCGTGGGTCCCGCCCGCGTCGCCGCCCAAGACCCATCTCTTTCAGGACGATCTGGTGTCCAACCAAGGGCAAAGGCTGGAGTCGTCGCTGCCCATCAATGCGATTCCGCTTCGACAGCCGGAAACGTTCGTGGGTGTGCAGCCATATACGCTGCCGGTACAGACGACCCAGAGTTTTCTGCAGCACGCCCAAGATGCCGGTCAGTGGACTTAACATCATCGCACCACTCGAATCCCTCGTTTGGATAGAGCGCGTCTACTTGAACCTGGAAGCAGCGCAGAACGCACACAAGAACCCGGGCCAGATGTACACTTTGCCCATTGCAAAGTGCGTTTTTGTGTAGAGGACAGGAATGTCCATCGTGTGCGGAACGATGGACGATATTGTCCTTGTGTATGTAGACCGGGCCGGGCGTGCCGCCTCGGGCTAGAGACGCTGCACTCGAACGTCTCGTCGACGCTGGAGAAGCGAAAGCACCGACCAAAGTCGGCGCTCCACGCGGTGCAAAAGACATCGCCCATGGTGACGGTCGCCGGCGCCAAAATCCGGTATCTCTCCACTCTAGCGATACGACGCAATCACGTCCTGTAGACCCAAGACCGCGCGGCTCTCGTTTCTACGGTCGGCGACTGTCTACTGCATGGACACGGCCGAGCGCAACACGGTACGAATTCCTCTGTCTTTTGTGTTCAAGTTGTCCGTTCTAGGTCGAAGAATACTCGGAGAAGCTGCAACTCGAACGGGAGAAGCGGCGCAGCGTCGTGGGCCTCAAGAACGCGGCCCTTGGACGGTAGACGTTATCTCTGTCCATCTTGAACCTCACGACAGAGGTGTCGTTTAGAAACAAGACGATCGTGCACCGCTCGATCGAATTCATCTTCAACTGCTTGCGCAACCAGGCGTATGCCAACGTCCCGGGGCACCTCCGGCAACTCTACGAGACGCTCGACCTTGACGACTATATGAAGTACGCGGCTTTTTTTGTTCAGGAGATGGAAGGGTGTACGACACAAATAGGCTTGTGCAGTCGGCGGCGACGGACCATCGCGGCCGCCGCACGCTGCTGCAGTCGCACAAATCGTCGTACGATGCGGGCTTTGACGCGGAGACGCTACCGCTCCTGTGGCTGGACCGCAAGCAATTTACGATCGCACTCCAGCAGCTCAAGTTTTCGACCGCCGACATCAACCTCATCTTTAGCGCGTTTGACTTTGACCTGGAACACAAAGTCGAGGTTCGTACGTCAATCAATGGCTGCAAGTACATACTAGTACGCTTCCACTAGGTGGGCGAGGTCTGTCGCGAGATTCGAACGCTCCAGCTCGCCAAGCAAAAGGAAATCATGCCCCACTTGCTCCTCAGCGGCGACAAGTCGCGTCTCCGAGACTCCTTTTAGCGTCAATACAATCGCATCGCGGTTGCCTCTGTCATGTCCGACATTGACGATGGACATATGTACGAGCGCACCTCGAGACTCTGCGTGTTTCAAGTGCGCGCAATGCAGCCTACTACTACCGCGGCGCAGGCGGTGCACATTGCAAAAAGGCAAGGTCAAGGCCCACAGCACGCGTTGACCGCAACCATATCTCGCCGCGTGCATGCCTGCTGCTGGAGCTACCGGCTATCATGTGTGTCTTGGCAGCACGGCGTGTCGTGGCACTTGGCGTTGGATTACTATCTTCTTCCAACGATGGCAGGCGCAAAGACAGCGCGGCCGGATCGTTCGCGAACGCGTCGAAGGTTCGCGATCTTGAACGACCAAGCCCGTCAGGCTACTCGTGGTCCAATCACGTGATGGCTGCCATCAGAAAGAGCCAATCATATCGTCGCGCCACGTGGAGGAATCCGCGGATCCGAGGTCACCGCATCTTGCCACCTTGATGCGCTTGCGCTTGGTCCTCTTCTAGCTCGCATATACATACTACCATCGAAAGGCGAGTCTCTGGCCTTTTTGGTCGGTAGGTAGCCCAGCCTTGTGGGCTCGGCGCACTTGGCGCTACAGTTGACGCCGTCCTCGCGCAGAGGCGCTGCAACGTCGAGGAAGCCTGGCGCGATCGTGCTACGTCGTCGGTCCCGTCGCACGGCAACGAGGCAAGCGGCCGATCGCGAAGCTTCCGGTCGCCTTCACGAGCCTTCGAAGCCCCGTTGGTGTATCCACCGTCGGTTCAAACGCGATGCCATTGGCTAAAATACAGCGGCTGTCTTTTCCCCGCCCATGGGATTCAATAGATTTCCATACAAACACGCTATTATAATAAAACGATGGGGATGGCCTCGCTGGCCGCAACGTTTCATTGGTCAAAAGTCGAAACGCTCCCGGCCGCTAGACAAGCCAGCTCACTTTGCCTTTTGCAGATTAACACAACAACCATGGTCGCCATCATCCGCAAGCCTGCCCCCGCCTTCACCGCGCCCGCGGTCGTCAACGGCGAGTTCGAGGACGTCTCGCTCTCGGACTTCAAGGGCAAGTACGTCGTGCTCTTCTTCTACCCGCTCGACTTCACCTTCGTGTGCCCGACTGAGATCATTGCGTTCTCGGACCGCGTCAAGGAATTCGAGGCGCTCAACACGGTCGTGCTCGCGGCGTCGTGTGACTCCAAGTTCTCGCACTTGGCGTGGATCAACCAGCCCCGCAACCAGGGCGGCCTCGGCCACATGGCGATCCCGGTCATCTCGGATGTCACCAAGAAGATTGCGCGCGACTACGGCGTGCTCATCGAAGACGGCGAGGACGAGGGCGTCCCGTTCCGCGGCCTCTTTATCATTGACGACAAGGGCACGCTCCGCCAGATCACGATCAACGACCTCCCCGTCGGTCGCAACGTCGATGAGATCCTCCGCCTCGTCCAGGCCTTCCAGTACACGGACGAGCACGGTGAGGTCTGCCCCGCCGGCTGGACGCCCGGTGCCGACACGATGGTCGCTAACCCCAAGGACTCCAAGGCCTACTTTGAGGAAGCCGACAAGAAGCGCAAGGCCCACTAAATCAACTGGTCACATGCTAGAACTCGACTAACCTTTAACAATTTGTCTGTCCGTCCATATTTTCGTCCGCACTCTCGCCCGCAACCGTAGCAGATCTGCGGCCCTTCTAAACTCCCTGGTCCAATCCGGAGCGTCCAACAAGCCGCCCGCCCGCCAAAGAGCAATGGCAACAAGTGTACTGGAACAACGAGGGCACGCTCGAGAGGGCATGGCCGACAAGAGACCTTACTTATCTCGTAGCATCCAAGGCAGCAAGACGCAAGGAGACCGAGACGAGCACGAGAAATAGTATGGGACACAGGCATGTGTGCAATGTTGTAGAAGACTCGAGTCGACGAGATTGACGCGCGGTGGTTCTATGCGCGCTAGGCCTTGGCCGGGCCAAAGCCAAAGTCGTCGTCGTCGTCATCGAGGCCAAACTCGTCCTATAGGACAGGTTCCTCCGGTCATTCTTTCATCCAGTGGCGGCGTACGAGCGGGGCGTTGGTCTGGAGCGCCAAATACGGGTTTTGCGACTGCGGCTGAAACTTCCATCTACGCGGTTTGAGAGTTGATACGTTGAAAGAATTGCAGAAGGGTTACCCCGTGACAGCGTAGAACGCGAGCGCCGCAAGTTCGCCCACGAGCACCGAGATCCACGTCTACGCAAGCTTCCATGAGATATGGTCCCGTCCGACGCGTGCATACGGCGTTGAAGGGCAAGGACGCGGCGAGCAAGTAGAGTGCGATGCGGGTAAAGTACACGTACGCGACGACCGCAATGTAAAAGCTGCGAAATTGCGTCAGCTTTTGCAAGTTGATGTGGGCTACGGCCCGAGATGCATCAAAAGTATCAAGCTATCAATCCATGCCATCCATACCTTTGCCGTCCGTCTCGGCCGTTTGGCGCAAATGGCGGATGCTCGACACGATCGGAAAGAGGATCGCGCAGCAGCACACAATGTCCACAAGGTGCATCACGTCGCGGTACCTCGTCGTCGTTGGTCAAGGGTTCGAGCCCGTCAAAAAACATCATAAAACACACAAAAGCAACGCCAAAAGGATATCCAGCCGACCCACGCCTGCGTCCCAATCGAGCTTTCCTGGAGCACGACGACCGCGATGTTGTTGAGCACCTACATAGAATATCCTGCGTTGGATCCTCGGCGACTAGAATAGAATGGCAATTATGTACTTGGAGGAGGAGGACGACAAAGATGATCTGCTTCTCCGACGGATTCAAGTGCGGCTTGAGGAGCGACCAGCCCGTGCCAATGAGGAGGATCACGACGAAGAGCATGATGCCCTTGAGAAACATAAAGACGTAGTAGATCTCATTCCACGACGTCATCGTGTCGCCGTGGGCCTTCATGTAGTAGAATCGCATCGACTCGGCAAACAGCGACAGCGTCTACACCGCATGATTTGTGTACGTTTGGAAAATGGGCAATAGTGTCTACCTTGACGCTGACGAGGACGGCCATCATGTAGTGGATGTGGTGGATCTAGCAGGCACAAGGATAGAAGGAGACCGATCGGCAAAAGACGGTACATGTGCCATGTTGGCGTGCAGGACGCGCGCCCAGTGCAAGCCCGCGGTGAGAAACACGATGCTCATGAGGAGGTAGATGAGCGGCACGGACGCGTCGCCGGCCGAGAGGTAGTTGCCGTCCGGGTTCTTGAACACGGCGCGCATCTGCAGCGATGCCGCCGTTGTCAATATCCTCTCATGGCGAAAGGATGACGAGCGTACCGAGAAGGACACCTCCGTGTCTGGCGCGCCGCAGTGGGCGAAAAGCACGTAGTAGAACCCTTCGCGCTCGATCGGGTGCGCAATGTGCCACGTCTTCTCGTCGTCAAAGTCCATGCGGGTCGTCGCCGGCTGCGCGTCCAAGATGCACACGACCGCATCGTACGGCCGCTGAAAATAGGCGGCTGCGTCCTCCATGAGGTCGTCTTCCTACAGACATTTATATCGCATGAGCGGCGCAGGGCGAGACGGCGGCGGCGGCAGTACGTACATGGACAAAAAGGATGCTGGTGCGGGCGAGCTGCGAGGCTGGCGCGACGTGGAGCTCGGCCTCGAGCTGGCCGTCGGCGTCAAAGGCGAAGCGCTCGATGAGGAACTGGCGGCGCGTCTCGTCCGCAAAGACCCAGTCTTGCTTGAGGCCATAGGCCAGCGCGAGCAGCGAGAGGAAGAGCACGGCCCAGCGCATGACGCGTGCGATTGTTGCTGAAAACGAAAATGACCGTATCCGGATAGGCCCTCTCCCAGGCTAAATGCACGCCACACAACAGTTGCGCCACGCACCACAGTTTGGACGTGGGCGGGGTAAAGTGGCGTGTGGATAGACTACTGGACGACGGCTACATGCATTGCTCGAGGACGCCCTCGACACGAGCAGTATTCGGCCACTGGGTATGGCGGCAGTGGGCGAGAAGCGTCGCCACCGGATGCCGCCGTACGCAGATCTCGTGATGGGAGATTTCAATAGTTTAAAAGAAAAGTGACGAAGCCGTACACTTCACTCCACTTCCCTCGCTAGCTCACCCTACACCTACACTACGGCATCGATACATACCAACTAATATAAGCCCCTGAACTATGGAGGCTAGCGAGAAGGAACTATAAGCATGCAAATAAGATGCCAGGTGAGTTCTCTTGCGTTGCCGAAAAGCCGACTCTGAAGAAATCTTGGAGAGTCGACATGGAGAGTCGACGCACGACCGATCCCATCGAACGGAGTCGCAATGAAGCTCCTCCGTGTCCGCGCCGGCGACGTCTTTGATGTGCTGGATGTCAAGACGTGGCGACGTCTGCGACTTGGTCGCTTTGCCGGGTACGACGACCGCGCATTCACCAAAGCAATGGTCGCCGATCGAGTGGTTTCGCAGATTCCGCTTTTTTGGTAACGAAATGATGCACGTCACGTTGCGTCCGTGCTTTCTGACGCGTAAAATGCATGATAGATTCGCGCCCACACACCTCCAGGTCTATAGTGATTTGAGCACTTGCAAGGGTGATGAAGAAATATATATATTCACCCTGGGCACTGTAATCATGTTGGATATATGGCAGCGAGGATCCGAGTTTTGAAGAGATATGCTATTGCTCGAGGTTTATCGGGGGGCGATCCGGCTTTTTCGTTTGGGAGGATTTTGAAGGGCGTCGAGACTCGGGCCACTCGGTGCATTATTACTATTGGTGCGCAGGATCGAATTGCTTTTCGCTCGCGGGACGATGCGCCACTAGACATTGTTGGCATTCTTTGTACAGATTGTCGTCGAGAAGGCGTGTACCGCATTGACACTTGCGACTTTATAGACGGCTTTCTGAAGCACTTTTCGAAATGTACGGAGCACGCGCGCGGGGTGGGCGGCCACGAGTGGCGGAATCAACGCCGCTTCGCAGTGCCTACGGTGCATCCCAATCATCGCACGCGACCTTGTAAAAAAAATGCTGTGTACGCTTTCCACTCGGCAGCTTGAAACTCGGCGTCGAGACGGCAGCCGCTAAAAAGAATGTCCTGAAGCGCCTCGAGCATGCGCGGGGACTTGTGGACGGCGCGTTGAAACTCTACGCTCGATCATTGCATGCGTTTGAAAAAACCATCAAATGTGTAAAAAGTAAAAAAACGGGACCTTCGACAGTAATGTCGCCATCGCCGTTCTCATCGAGGGCGCGCATGATTTCATTCACGTTGTTTTCGAGTTCGAGCCCCTTGACCTCTACGCATTGTACAATAAAAAGAATTGTCCCTGTCGTTACCGTGCAGTTGGAGCCCGCGTTTCCGCGACACGAGCGTTTTGTGCACCTCTTGCTTGGTGACCGTGCCGCCGCCATCGAGATCCAGCACCTAAATGTGACGTGAGTCAAGAAAACTATGTGTACAGGTTGTCATCGCACCCAGTGCACCATGCGCGCACGTGCATCTGGCGCACCTTGCATGAGCGTCGAGAGGCCCCTACAAAAATACGATGACGAAATATCGGGAACCAAGGCTCGAGCATCGCGAATGGTACTGAATGAATTCGTCAAAATCCACAAATTGGTCGTGGTTCGCATCGAACGCGAGAAAGAGACGCATTGCCAGCGCGTGGTCCACCGGGTGCGACCGCGCGAGGCGGAAGAAATAAGAAATGATGGCGGTAAAGCCGTAGACATCAATGGCGCTGGGGGCTTTCGCATCCGAACGCGGCGCTACGAAAGTCCGTCGGTCCGTAGTCGATCCATGCGCTCGACTGAAATACGTACCGCTGGCTTGCAAGCCCGAGCTCCATAGCTTGCGCAACGTGCGCAGCCTACGCGAAGCGACGATCCATAGAACCTCTCGACGACTTGAGAGGCGGACCCTAGTTTGAGTTTGACGTTCTTCGGGTGCACGGCGAGGCGAAGGGGAAGGGCGCCGGCAAAACAGTGAAAGAACATGGGGATCCGACTGCACGCACTGCAAAATTCCTAGTGGAAACCACAAAAATTCCATTTTCAAATTGTCTTATTGTGCACACCATCGCACCTGGAACTCCATGTGCCCGTCGTGGTTGCGGTCGACGACCCCAAGAAGCTGCTGGCTAAATAAAATTTGGTCCCAGAGGTCTTCTTTGTCCGACTGCAGCGTCTGAAACACTTCCTCGACTTCGATCGACCCTAGTCGTCATGCGATTATAGACAATGTGTCCATCATTGAAACGCTCATACCGCCACCATCGCGGTCGTAAATGGAAAAGACCCACTTCATTTTGTCAAGGTCCGTGCCATGCACGAGCATGTGGCACAGCTGTGCAAAATCACCCAAGGTCACGGACCGCTCTGGACTCTTGCCGTGGTGCTGACACGCCGCGGGGTAGCACTTGGCGGCCCACTCCTGACTATCAAAGCCGAGCGTCAAGCACAGCATCTAGTATTTCTGACGTAAACAAAGCGGTGAAGATGATGACACGACCTTGATGAATTCGCCTTTCGAGAGCACGGCTTGCCCCGAGATCTTCTTGAGAGCTGTGGGGGGCGCGCCGGGGTGCAAGGACGCGGCCACTTGGGCGTACGTTTGTACAATACTTTTGGGCACAACGTCCACCGGCGCTTTCTGGCTGTCGAGCTCTAGATGGATAGCTCGATCGATATATAGACTCGATCATTAGGAAGTCGACCTCGCTCGGCGGTCGCGGTCCGGCGCTTGACTGCGATTGACAGTCTACGTATCTCGACGATTTGTGCTGCATTTCTTCATCGCACACGACTCACTTGTGGAGCTGGCGCGCTTGCTGGGCAACGCGAACCGTGTTGTACAGCGAGTCGCCCAGTGAGTCTTCGTCGGCAGATTGCACGTCCGAGGTCGAGCTCGGTGGCCGTGGCGGCGACGTTCGCGACGCAAGCTGGAGCTCCTCGACCTTGGCGATGCTAAAGCGCAGGCGGTGCACCGACTGCCGTCGACCACGCATGTGCAGCGACATGTCTTGGTCGTTGGTCCGGGACGAGAGGTGGTGCAGCGACTCGTGCACTACCTCCTACACATAACGTATCAACGTATCAAGAGTGCTCAATCTTAAACAATTGGAAGAAGGTCTACCTGCGTCATGTCGTGTTGAGTTGATTTTTCTTGTAGCTCGAGGAGTTGTCGTTGCTTATGGGCGGACGTGAGCTCGCGCGAGAGGAGCGCTCGAGACGACGGCAGCCGCGGCTCCCCGGTCGTCAGCAACTTGTCGGGCCGAAACGGTTTGGAGGGCGACCCTAGTTGACGCAGCTGAATGTGGACGAGTGACGCCTTGCGCTCCTTCAAGTACGGCGTTTGCGCTGGCGGCGTGATAGGTGAATTCGGTGAGTCGACGACCAACAACGCAGTGGACGGGCTTGTGCTTGGACGCATCGGGGACGTCGCGTGGGGTCGTGGCGTCAATGGCAGCTCAATGGCGTCGAGCTGCGCTTGAAGCACGGCCTTGCCGTTGTGCGCGGTGGCAGTGTGGCGCGTGGTCGCTACGGTGCAGAGCGCCTGTAGCAGCGTCCGCGTCGTGCAGGCAATATCCTCGTCGTCGTCGTTGTCGGCAGCCGGCGACGACTCGATCGTCGCCATATCGACTGCCATGGCTAAAAGGGACAAAATGAAACCGCTGGTGAGGCGTGGAAATGGCAATGATCCATGACCACCCGGGAATGCTCAACGTACAACTCAAGTAGAAAAAATTAGATCACGAGAGGACTATCTACGCCGCATCGGCTCACTCCACGCGTCTGCTGACTCATCTTTTGTTTGTGTTCTGAAAGATGCTGCGAGAGTAAGTACTGTATTCCCTTTCAAAATAGCACTTGTAAACATCCTAAACGGGACTCATTTTGTACGCATTGCGTTATCACCAAGGACATCGTTCTCATCGCACTCAAGGGTGTCTGCATTTCGCGGGCAACGAGCAACATTGGAACGACCCCATTGAGGCCTCAAAACCTTTTCCAATGCCGACGACAAGTGCCATGTCACCAACTTGTTCGCTCCTTGTTGACGGCCTCTTACTCTCCCCCAAAGCACGGACAACGTCTGAATTTCAAATTTTACAATCAAAACGACTACTTGTGTGCTGGTCGTGTCGGCGCGACGGCCGACTTGTATCGTTGCATAAGGGCGCGGACGCAGCAGTGGATACGATGAGTGACGAACGCGGCGGCGATTGCCAAGCCCAACACAATGGTGACGTTCAGGACAACGTTGAGATGGACGGTGGCGACAACGACCGGTGGCGACGTCATTAGCCCGTACGACGCACCATCTCTCGCCCGCATCTCGGTCAGCGGCAATGTCATTTTCGTAGTGCGGCTTTGAATACGGAAAATCCATGCAAATGATTGACGACGGTGCTTTTACGTGGCGATTGTACAAAAGCAAGTCGTTGCTGACGCGCCGAGTGTTTTTTTCCCACGTCCCCAGAGACATAGAGCGCTCGTGGTCGATATTGAGATGTCGACTACGAATTGCCTCGAATTTTTGCAGTTGTATGTGGTATCCAATGGGAGAGCTAGTCGATTGACGTAGTGAGTTAGTCTATTATTTATGCATGTGGAATATGTGTGTTCGCTGTCAATGTCTGGTCGATGCAATGATAATTGCACAGTTGTAAAGCTGATCAAATGTTGCTGTGGCATATAAAATCGCTGACAGTATTCAAGGAGACGCGCACAGTGGAGTCGTGTGTAGTGTAAATGTGCAAGAAGTGGTGTGCATACCTGTACTACGTGCGAAGATATATATTTTTGGTCACATTCTCCGCAGCGCGCCCCACATCCCGGCCAAAATCTCGCGATGCGTGAGTACTTTGAACGCTCCGGCCCTGCACCGTGGCCCGGCTGCCCGATCACTACCACGTGTGCTCGAGGCCCATCTCGTCACCGTCCCGTCTTTCGAGAAGCGCCTCAGAAACAAGAAGCTTTGTACCGTGCAGACCAAGGCGATCATTGACACTTGTCCCGGCGTCGATGCTGTCTACTAGCTGACGGCCAGTATAGCTGTGTTGATGAACGTCATATTATTGCTGTGGGTTGTTGCAGCCACGATCGAATGCAAACAAATGCCCGAGACGGGATCCTTTCGGATCAATTTCGATTTGTCTCTGGCGCGCACACGACAACAAAATGGCGACGGACACACCGACGACGACGAGTGCCGTGGCGTACCCAGCGTGGTTTATTCTTCTGGTCGCGGTGCTTTTCTGCATTCTGTTTGCATGGGCGACGCTGCGCTACTGCTCTGGCTGGTCGACGGGTGCCGAGGCGCTCTCGAGCAAGGAAACGCCTGACGTCGTCATCGACGCGACGCGCGTCACGTGCGTGAGCGAGGGTCCATTTTACACGCACGCTTCGACGCCAGTGTCTGCGGTCAACGGCTTGCGAGGTTCCATCTAGGTGTAGCAAGAAGTAGAAGAACGATGAAATGAATATTGACGAGCGTGAGGTGTGTTGCAGAGCAGCAGCGATGTCTATGCGGCGGATGCTAGTGCTGAGAGGTGCTGTCCATGCGTGTGGAGCGATGCCATCCATGCAAAAAGATGGTACAATTGGAGGAGCAAAAGATTGGAAACTCCCAATGCGGGGCTCGAACCCGCGACCACACGATTAAAAGTCGTGCGCTCTACCAACTGAGCTAATCGGGATTTTCTGATTTCAGACCACTTTTAACAAGTATGCACAGTGCAAATATAGAATATCCGAAACGGCAGGGTTACAGACTATGACATACAGCGCTGTCGGTAGACAATCAAAAGATACATACTTTCACTGGATTGCACACCAATCATCTATCGTCCAGTGCTTTAAACGAGGACTTGCGCGTCGCCAGATCGACCAATCAGAGAGCGCCAATGCCCAACATTTCGGTAATCTAGAAACACCCAACTTGGCGAATCATGGAGGCACATTACAAACTGGTGCCGCGTTCTTGGTGTATAATGCTGGTATTGCTGTGACTTGAAAGTAAACATTTGCTTCACATGTCTTACCCCAGACTTGAAAATCCTACTGCGCGGCTTTAAACCTCGAAACACGACTCCGATACCGGTAAACGAAGCATTGGTCGATACTGACGCAGCGTTTGTCAGTATCGACCAATGCTTCGTTTAC